CTCAGACTCTGCTGCGAGACCCTGAATGACCTTGAAGCCCAGAATCTCACTATCCTACTGTTTCCAGTTCAAGGATCTCTGAGGGGCAAGGGATCCTGGGCCACAAAGAGTTGGGACTTAGAAGAGAGGTACCCAAGTCTAAGACAGGAGTGGGTGGGGATAAGACAATCACTTCTTTGGCTGACGGGGAATGTGCGGTGTGTTGCCAAGAGGCTGGTCCAGGGTTCACAGGGAAATGGGGACACCAAGTGACTTAGTCCTGGATGGAGTCAGACATATGAATGGGTGGCAGAGAGAAGTGGGTGGTTGGTCTCTCCATATCTCTCCCCACCTCTCTCTCCCCATCTCTCTCTCTCCATATCTCTCCCCATCTCTCTCTCTCCATATCTCTCCCCATATCTCTCTCTCCATCTCTCTCTCTCTCTCTCCATATCTCTCCCCATAATTCAGTCTTCATTTTTCTCCCCATCTCTCCTATTGCTTACTCTCCCATTCTATATTTTTCTCTCTCTTCCAAAGCCCTCAAGACCCTGGAAAACGCCTCATCTGTTACCGTTCTAGAAGGCCAGTACCTGCGTCTGCATTGCGTTGCAGACAGTAATCCCCCTGCACGGCTGAGCTGGTTCCGGGGTTTTCCAAGCGCGGACACCTCCCCCATCTCCACTGGATATGCGGAGCTGTCTCAAGTAGTGACTGGGGAAGGGAGAGTGTTCACTTGCCAAGCTCAAAACCATCTGGGCAGCCAGCAGGTTTTTCTGAATGTCTCTATTTATTGTGAGTTTGGGGGCACCTTGGGCAAAGGCTCCATGGAATTAGAGAGGCAGGAAACCCTCCTCCCCCCTTGCTAAGCTATTTCCTCCCTCCCCACAGATTCTCCCACCGTTTCTTAGCCTTTCCTGCTTCTGGGAGGCTAAGGGTCAGAGCTACAGCTGCTCTGTCTAATCCTGGTTGGTCCACTTCCTGTGCTGGTGGGTTGTGGGCAGGCTGGTAGAGGTAAACAGAAACAACACCTCCGTCACCTTCAGCACCTCCGCAAACCAAGCCAGTAGCTTTTGCAGCTTCAAAATGGGGCTCAACCCTGA